GCAACTCTGCTCTCCGACCCCATTCAGAACAATGAGCTGCCTGAGGTTGACTATAGGCCTCATGTATACAGGAAGGATGACCATTGGGAGAGCACTTGGTACCTGGCACTCAAACCCAAGCCTAAATCAGGAAAGAAGGAAAAGAAGAGAAAGAGCCATGAGGAAGAAGGAGCGGAGCAAGGTAGAGGAGCACATGATAAAGAAGAACCTCTGGTTCTTACAGAAGGAGAAAGAACATCACAAGGGCTCAAACCTGATGACTCAGCTGTGAAAAAACTCAAAGACAGTCGCATGCTGGTGATGAGCGACGGACAAAAGCATGAGCGCAGAAATGAGGAGAAGGATGGAAAAAAGCACAAGGGGAACACAAACTCGCAGTCACCTGTTCTGAGTTTTGATGAACAAACGATGCGTAAGGCCAGGAAGAGGCAGTGGAGCGACACCCAGCACAGAGGCTGCTCCAGGAGGAACCTCAGGGTGGATTTTGCAGACATTGGCTGGAGCGAGTGGGTTATAGCACCCAAGGCATTTGATGCCTACTACTGTGCTGGCACATGTGGATTTCCCATGCCCAAGGTAGGAGCACAAACACCTAAGATTCAAAATGGCATTACCAAGTTATATTGAGTAACTTGAGTGTTGTTTATATTGATCTTCTCCTTTGCACACCTCTCCTCTACTCAAACTCTCCCAGGTGGTGAGGCCATCTAACCACGCCACCATCCAGAGCATAGTCCGAGCCGTTGGGATCATCCCAGGAGTTCCTGAGCCCTGCTGTGTCCCAGAAAAAATGAGTCCTCTGGCTGTGCTGTTCCAGGATGAATCCAGGAACCCAGTGCTCAAAGTTTACCCCAATATGTCCGTCCAGTCCTGCTCCTGCAGATAGGGAGATTGGCCAACAGGGCAGAGGCCTAAACACGGTGGATGTGGAGAGAAACAGTAAAAGGGACTAACGGAGAAAGAACCTCTGCTTGTTAAGTGGATTCTTGATACTGAGAAACAAAGTCACTTTGGCCGTTGTTATTCCTTGAAGAACATAAGCTGTAGAGAAATCACTTCCATTTCTTCTGTCCTGCGGCAGCAGACTTGAAGAGACACATTGTCTGTCGTCTGTCTTAGCAAGAGGAACAGAGTCACACATGTAAAGTCAGGGCTCCACATGTCCAAGAAGCCCAGTTGTTTTGATTCTGTGTTTGAGATAATATTGAGATTGATTTCATGGACAGAAACATTTAAGGGCTGTTTTCCTTTTATCTCAGAATGCACTTGCTTTTCAAACAGCTCACAGTGAGTTTGTGTTAATGTTTTCTTCGGACACAAAGGCTACAAATAAAAGACTTTATTAATATGTCGTCAGGCAGCTTACACAGTCTCAAACAGATTACAGAGATTATGAAACATATTTTTACAATTTTGCATACTGTGTGCTAATCACACACCACATTGTACATACATGCAAAGCTAATTTGTCTGCAAGACAGGAAGGTTATTGTACATTCTTGCTCTGTATATATTAAAAAGGAAATATCTAATGGATTGTAGAGAGCATCTGGAATTCATTTACACCGAGCCAACCCCCTCATAACACTTCAAGAATGTTATAACCAGAAATATTTTTCTATTTTAAATGTGAAACTTGGTTAAAAAAAGAATTTGTCATGGTTACTAGGTTATGTATTACTATATTTTAGTTGAGATGGTGTTTTGTACATGTGCATTGTTTAAATTATGAAAAGGTAGCCTTCTATAATTAGAATAAAAAAGTAATTTAATCCAATGCTCTTTCTGGTATAATTTTGTTTCATACAGTTATTCTTGGTCATTACTGCATTTAATTTTTGATTCTTGGGGGGGATGTTTTTGTCAAAACAAACCCTAAAAGGGCACTACTGTTCCAAAATAGCTTAGTACAAAAGCAGGAAGGTTCCACTCAAAAGCCAATATTCACCTAAAGCCACTTGAACCCATTATTACCCCACACCAAAGACTCAGACGTCTGTCGCACAGCAAATAATGTGACTGATGCCGTTGCCGTGTGTTAATGGTTGATGGAGGAAGCAGACATGCACCTATTGGGACGTCAGACACTCAACTTCAAAACACGGTGCACTTCCCCTTTTCTAACCCTCTGTCCCCCATTCCATTCAAACGCAGAACACTTCCAAGTGCAGGATGTTTTCCTCAATAGCAATTTCTTAAATAGATGGTTATACACAATCTCAACAACTTTAACTCAACTACTTGTCACATTTATTCACAGGAGGAAGAAGGCGACCCATGTGGTGCCTAAACAGTGAAATGACAGAGGGAACCTTTTGACTATTAACCCATCGCTCTGGGGTTGTTTTGACTTGAGCCTGAAAAAGTTGGCACAGAGCACCACATGTGTTTCCAACAACAGAATGCTGTAAAGTTTGCCAAGACTGGACAGTAATTTTGTATCGGAGACAGAGACATTTAATAACCATTTGGGGGGAAGGTAACACAATTTTGAGCTCATATACTGATTATCACAGTTGAGGATAATGCTGTAAGTCTTTTGCCTTAGAATTGTGCACAGAGAGCTAAAATAAGAAACAGTCAGTCACCAGTTACCACCTGTGCCACCCCTTTGGTCTGCACTGCTTTGTCCATTAGATATACAGACTATAAAAATATTCACCATTTTTGGAAGTTGTCATATTTTATTGTCTTACAGCAATGAATCAAAGGGGTTTTAATGTGGACACTGATCAACAGAAGACGACCTTTCGATGTGAAAGTGAAAACAGATCTCTACAAATCTGATACTGACTCACTAATATTTGGACCTTAATGATACAAGTGATACTGCAGTCACTTGAAACCCTTTGACTGCACACAAGTGAGCTCCATTTAACTCATTATGTGACTTCTAAAGCCAACTGGCCACACCATAAAGTGATGGTTTAGATGTTCTTTATTAAAGGGGATGAATACTTTTACAAACATGTATTTTATACCTGTGATACATTTTTCACTTTATAGAGATACTTTTGTTAGTATAATACAAAAAAGAAGAGCTTATCATTTTAGCTTTGTAACCCTATTTTACCATGTTATTACAAGAGTGTAACTAAATGGGTGCAAAATGAAGAGCATATAAGAAACACTGGGGCCCGCTGCTGAATATTCACTGACAAAGTGTGCTGCTGTGACATGTAGTGATGAGATGATAAGCACTATCACAACCCTAAAGAGATTATCTTGAGTCCATATTTGAGGATGAGGAAGAGAGGCAGATGAAGGGAGAGAGAAATGTCTAAAATTCTAAATGCATGATTCAGTTTTCTGCATTTTGAACAAGTGGAAATGTTCAGCAACAACAAATCTTTTCACGAAAGCACCCTTGATGGGGCCTCCATTTAAATTATGATGATGACTGTAATTGGGGTTATTATAAAGCATGTTTACATTAATAGATGTTTTAGCTTCAAAGTAGGTTGGCCCAATTGTAAAGAACACATCCAGGTTGATTTTTCCCCCCTAATTTACTGACTGATCCCTTTAACAGTCCGGACCCATAGTCTGCTATTACAAAGTGAACCCCATGTCAACCGCAATCAAAGTCACAGGAGAGTACTTACAATGGTCAGTTCCAGCCGAGAAAACCACATAGGCTCGTGTTCAGAGCCTAGTATGCCTAAAAGCCAAAACCCAACGAAGCAAGCAGGGAACCAAGAACAATATTTGTTTTTCCACATGATGACTGTTCAATTAACAGAGAGCAGTACAGCCATTATTAGACAACAGAGGATTTTCTGTGTCCGGGCTGAAATGGCTCTTTCCTCACATGGTTACTGAGCTCAGAGAACTAATAGGTCTGTTCATAATGACATAGCTTTAATAGAGTGACACTGTTCCTCTTAATCACCCATTTAATCATGAGGGCCACTGGGTATTTTATTTAAAAATCTTATTTTTCCTTTAGAAAGTGAAAAAAAGAAACTACTTTTACCAGTTTCCAAACCACTTTTAGAACTTTTTTTTTTCATCCAAGGAATCCATTTTAGTGTGGAAACAAAAAATATTGGGACTACCTTGAGATAAATAAGGATTTAAGACACAACAAAACATTAGGAACATAATGCAGTGTATTTGTGCCAAAATGTGTTTTGTGTGCAGTTTTCATGTCCTGTGTAGGTTTCAGTCCCAGCAGTAAAACACATGAGTAATGATGTCCAATCCATAAAAGAAATCTGTTATATTCCCAGAAAAGTATTAATGAACTCCATGAAGGAACCCTCTAATTTGTGGTGCAAAGAGACTGGGAGGAGAAAATCTGTTACTCAAATAAAAGTAGATAACAACAGTGTGGGCGGGTTTACATCCCTGCTTACATTACAAAGTGACTGAACAGGGTCGAGTCTTGACTTTCCCATGAACTTCATGCCTTCTTCCCGCCTCATTTACCTGCAACAGAGACCGCTATTTATGTCAATCTGTCCGCAGTCTGACCTGAACGGGATGTACTATTGGTGGAGAAACATAAAATGTCAAATTCAAAGCAGTAGGCTTATGGACTCCATCCAGGTCTGTAGATGAATGATAACCATTAAACAAGAACTTGATTTCATTTTTGAGTAGCAGCCTGGGAATCAGCCTCTCACTGTTTCCGTTCATTTTTTCGCATAGCCTGGTGAAATGTTGGGTGAAACATCTCAAATGACATACAAATATTGTATTGTATAAACATTTTAGTCTAATAGCCTATTACAATACATGAGAGCAGAGTGACAACAAAAAGATTTCCTCCCATTGGTTCATGCTCTGAACTTTCTATTAATCAAACAATTCATGGGATCATTCAAGGCAGTCTAATTACAAAGCAAATATATTTGATAGATATTCTTCATATTTAATAATCTGCAGAGGAAAAAGGGCAAAATGTTGGTCTCAGTCGCCGCCTACTGGAACAGACAAACACTGACACCCTTTCAGAGTAGGACTTACATGATGGTGGAAGAAAATACTCAGACACATCTGTTTAATTTTCATAATTTTAGATTTCAAAACGAATGTGCAAAAACACTCATTCCATATCTCTTGTACAAATAAGAGCAGAGAAAAGCTGAAAAATAAGAGGATTGCGTCGAATTTATGACAATCACGAGCTGACCTTCCCTCCTGAGTTCCATAAGGCACAAAATAATCATCAACCTAACACACAAGGCTAAAGGACAAACAACAAACTGCAGTGAGAACAGCTTACACGTACCTCTATCGTCATCTAGTGGACAGGTTGTGATGGCCATGTGTTTCTATTTTCAGCTAACTACCTACATTCACTGTCTCGCCGTGAATCTGGAGTTTAACCTGTTAAATACGAGCATCATTTAGGAAATAAATAACGTGGGGTTTTTTTTGTCCCTTCTTCTCTTAGTTATGAGAGGTCATGTGTCTTGACAGGTGGTGCCGCTCTCGGAAGTATTCGTGACAGATCGGGCAGGTGAGTTTCTCCTCCCTTCTCCTCCTCACCTGGGACTCCGCCGCGAACTCCTTCTTGTGATGAGAGCGCATGTGGAAAACGAGGTCGGAGGTCATGCGGAAGGACAGGTTGCATTTGGCGCACCAGTTCTGCACCGACACGCCGAATGAGGTTAAAGTAGGCGGAAGGATCGTGAGAGAAGATGTGGTCTGCAGCTGAACACCAATGTTTCGTGACCAGTGCTCCGGTGCGTAATGGAAAGCATTGTTTAATGCAACCGGGGAGGAAAATGTCTGTAAGTCACCGCTCAGGATGTTGGATGCCATCAAATTGTTGTATCCCATAACAGTCCTGGAGGTAAAGGCATCAGTCACCTCCTCTAGGCGGCTTGAGGGGGCTGTTGGCGCGCTGCTGAGATGCGCCTGGGGGTCAATAGAAGAAGTTCTTTTACTCGGTTTACAGAAAGCGCTTTTCTGCTCGCCCCGACTGTTGGACAGGACCAGAGAAAATGCACTGCTGCTGCTTGAGTGCACACCAGAGCTCTCACCTGTCTCCGACCGTGAGTCTGTCTCCGTGCCGCGCGTAAAAGTCCCTTTGGCATGCCCCGCGTCAGCAAAAGCATCACTCTTACATCCCAAATGATCCGGTTTGATCTTATTATCAGCTTTCAGTTTTCCCGCAGAGGAAGATGCATCTCCTGCGCCCTGGTCGTAGCCCTTACTCAGCTGTGTAATATTGTCATCATTAGAAATATTCGTTTTTTCTAACAGAACCGTTTTCCGTCCTTTGGGATAAAGAGTTTCCTCGTATTTCCTTCTCTTGGGGGAAACCTCTGCGTCCTCGTTGTTGTCAGATTTTTTGTGTTCCAAATCTCTGGCGATATTGTGGAAATCTGTCACCCGATGTTGCCTTTTAGTTTCCACATGCTTGTGCTCGTAAACCTCGCGGCTCCAGGTGTCCCTCTTTACTTGCGTACACAGGAATCGGCAGTGAGCCAGGAAAGGATTCTCATTCTTGAAAACCTGGTTACATCTTCCACATTTGAATTCTGAAAGAAACAAAAAAAAAAACACGATGTGACTATATGTACAGATACATTCAAATAGAAAGATACCTAATGTATTTTGGAGTGGGAAAACAATTTAATTTTAACGTACATCCTCACAGAAGTCCAAACATAATGGTACTTTCTGCAATAAAATGCTCAGATTGATGCTGTTTTAGTTTAAAGATGTTCATGAGGCTGTACATGGGCTTTATAATTACAGCCAATTTTTAACAAGGCTCAGAAGCCCCGCCAGTGTCCTGACTTTGCACTAGCCTTACAGAGCGCTGCCTCACCTTCACTCGATCCTCTGATCATGTCCGTGAAGCCCAGTAGGTGAGAAAGCTCCTGGTCGTACCACACCAGCAGCTCTTCCTCCTGCTGGATGTCCCGTGTGGTCCGCACATACAGCTGACCTGCTTTCAGGAAGGCCTCTGTGTTTTGCTCCTCTCCATTGCGCGCAGCCTGTACCAGCCGCAGCCAGGACAGCACCAGCGCGGAATTGCGCATGGCCTCGGGGTCCACCTGTTGACAGGAATCAGTGACATTTTATAGCTCCCAAATTATCGCATTTAATATTTTTCTTTATTACACGCTTGAAATTCCAATAATGAAAAAGTTAAATTGTTAATCTAACAATATTTCGTCTGACAGCATTTTTAAAAGGCTAGTTAAAATTTTAATTGTTTGTCCCTTTTGATATAATACCCAAGAGAGCAGCTTTATGGCAAGCACAAACTGATTAACAGCAAAAACGTATAATCACATATAGGTTTTTTATAGAAGATTTTAAAACCGAACAAACAAATATAGGTCCAAAACACAATGGTCATAACCACTGGGCTTTAGGGCCACACAGTTATATAATAACAAACTAACATACTATAATAGACCATCTCTTTGAAGTTCAAATGTCCATGCTGCATGCTGTCCACAAAATTATACAACTCACCCTGAACACATAGGATTTAGCTCTCTTGTCGCAGGATTTCTGCGCTATGAAGGCGATAGTGTCATAGAAAGTGTTTTGGAGCACACATGGACCAAAGCATGTGCCTGAAGGGATGCTGCGCGTAACGACCACACTGGTGTAGAGATCCGCTGGATGCTGGAGGAATTTACTCTCGTCAGTCCAGATGGACCGAGGCAGGAAAGTGTGATCCATCGTTAAACTGTAATAAAAATACAACGGTTGTGGTTAGTTAAAGAGCAGGTATACAATATAGGTTTTTCATGGTTTAGGATTATTATTTCAAGATGAAAGGAAAATCATGAGGCCTAACTTGATCTTTATTAGAATAAGACTAAAAATCATGAGAATCGTAACAGCTAACACACATTTTATTTGCTTTAGTCAGTCAAAATATAGAGCATGGGGGGCTGTATGAAATAAATTAGGTTTTATTGGGGTGACATGCTGTTTGCCGAGTTGGAATCAGATGCTCTAAACCCACGCTGAATTGTCTTACATGCAATATTGAAAATAAGAATTTGTGCAACCATGTTTTTTGTTTTGTTTTTTTTCTGCTAAAATTACGTGTCCCAACTGTGAGGCAGGCGCAGCCGGTGTCGAGGCAAAATTATTTCTAACGTCCTTTGTCTCAGTTTTTCAGTCGGTTTCTCCTTTTGTCTCCCCATCTGCCGTAGAGCCAAACTGCCTCATCTGTGCGCAGGATAAGTTCAATATGTTTCTTCTGATGTATTAACAGTAGTAATGCGATTGACGGAAAGATTAAGTGGCTAATAATTTTTTCTTCTCTGGTCAATAAAAAGTATCTGACCTTTAGGGTTTTGTTGTTAAAGCGATTGACAGCTGATCGCGAAGCATCACAACAGAATGATCTGTGACAGAAACACTGCCAGTAAAACTGCCAGACATTTGAGAGAGGAATCGCGCGTCCCTGTGAAGAAAACAGCGGAAATGTGCATTAATGTGGACTCACCCGCGGGACATTGAGGAGGATGTTTGTGCCGTGTGGCAGCGACTTGCGGCAGGTGCAGTGGACCTCGGTAACGATGCCCTCTCGTTTCTTGGTGAGGAGTTACTTATCCGACTGAATCTTCCTCCGTACTGTCGACCCTCTGAGCTCCCACTCCCACTTATCCCCTTCAGAGAGCGCACTGAAGCGTGGCGCATTGATGTAAACACGTGCGCGCTCACGCACACACACGACTTGAATTGTGTCCTATGGCAAATTCTCCCTTGTCTGCCAGTCAATTCCATGAAGAAGAGAGTTTTTGGGCGCTAGACAGGAAAGATAGTGCCAATAATGCACATAGGTAATGGAGTATTCATCCAATACATGCATGGAGCTGACTCATGTGGACATACAGGCCTACTGTGCACCACATATGAACAACAGCACATCAACAACATTTTTACCTTTTAGGGAGAGTGAAACATTTTAAATATAATGTTTCGAGTCTTTAGTGGTTATAAATTATACAATTTCAGACAAATTATAGATATAAAACCACAAGCTCAGAGGACCACAACCTGCGGCAGACCTAGCACAAGCCTTTGCCAGCCTGAAATATAATGTGATGTATAATGCAGACAGACACCTTATTGTCTGTTTTCACTCCAAAATTGTCACTCCACTAATTGTGCGCAATAGATATTCAGATAGTTTACACGCTATGTGGGTATCGTAGACTGTTTTTGGTCACGTTTCTGGAAACAATAAGTCCATCTACACAAGAGTTACACCAGTGGTGGAAATCGTCCTGGCTAGTGTGGGCAACAGGAAATTTTGACATTGGCCACTACTACATGATACCATGCAGGGTGGTCTGGCTTTGCCACCGGGCAAATGCATTATTCATAAACTAAATGTTTCTGTCTAATGAGCATTTAATTGATTATTCTGCATCAAAGATTTGGTTTGGGTAAATGTGCCTGTGGTTATCGAGCCAACTTTCTATAATGAGTAAGCGGGAACACATAAAAGCCTTCAATGGGGACTCCTCGGACCCACTCCAACAAGCACAATTACAGGCTGGATAAAATTTCATTTATTGTTGGATAATATTTCCTCGAATTTTTTAGCTTATCACATTAAATTGTGTTGGTATGTTTGATGGCACTCATGAAAACCGTCACAAAAACATTACATCCTGTCATGGGTCGATTTGCATTCAGGCCCATAATTGAGCTATTGTACTGTTTTTCTACTGAGAGCAAAATGCCTGAGACCTAAAAAAAAAAAAAAAAAAAAACAGGCACCAAAATGACCAATTATTGATTAATTTAAACAAGGTACAAAATTATGATTAGTTATTGTGACATTGGCTTGCTCATTTGATTTTACAAATTCTAAATAGCCTAATCTTAACTATAAAGCAAACATTATATAGCATCAGACTCATTCCAGGACACTGAAACTCAAATAGCCTGTTGTTATTTTGCGTAATCCCACTCCAGACAGTAGATATCTGCTCACTTCTTTTCATGGGGCTTTTTGTATGTAAAAGTGGAGTTTTGTATCTCTCCTCGGGTGTCGCTCCTCTCCTCCACCCTGACCTGCTTCAGTGCTTTTTTTTCTCAGCTACAAGAGAAGACTTGGAGAGCCCGGCGAACAAGACCCCTGCAGGCTGAATGCACTCAAGCTAGTAGGACAGAACATCGAGAAACAAAGCCGTTTTTACACACAGTCGATTCAGAAGCAGACGATAGAGAGAAAATGTGAAGATCTTTAGTTGTCACAGTGTTGGAGTAGTCAACAGTAACCGGGAAAGATGGCGAGGACACAGACTCGCATGTTCCTCGCCTTGGCTTTGCTGGGAATTTTCTTCCTCGATGTCTCGGTGAAAGGACAGCTGCAGGGAGAGCAACAGGAGGAGGAGGAGGAGGAGGAGAGGTCCTGTCAGGGTGCCTTCGACCTCTATTTTGTCCTGGACAAGTGAGTGTCCGATATTATTTATGGCTTTGTTACTTTCTCATCGCTGCACATTGCCATGCAACCGCCCAGTTGTGTGGAAACGCGGAGCGCATCCGTCAGATTCAGTCTCCACGTTTCTGTTGTTGTAAGGGGACTAAAGAAAAGTAACCTACAAGTTTGTGCTTGTATATTCGGAAGCCTATCTTCTTTAGCCTATCAGTTTGCCCTTTGTATCACACAGCCAGTCTTAATAAATAGGATAGTGGTTTGTTTAATGGAGTGACTACACGCACAACACGTCCAAACCCATTTTAACCCTCATTGTTATCTTTAAGCGTCTTTTCGCACAGGCAGCATTATGTTTGAATTAGGAATAATAGTTATTTCGGACATTGGGGCATGCTTTACTTTTCTTTTCGTCCGGTTAAAAGTGGAGAGGTAAGGAGTATGAGCTTTACCCACGGGATGTGGGCAGGGCGAGCAGGATGGATAGAGTTTCAGGCTGATGACGCCTGCGGACACAGCTGCAGCAGCTGCCCCACAGCGGTGCTATGTGGCCTGGTGAGCCCTTAAACTATTCTTCGCTCCGTCTACTGTGAGCCGATTGTATCCGGTGACTAAAGGCAGATCATTCTTCATTGTTTTTCTGCAGGGAGTTAGCTGTCTTAACACTAAATCTGTTTATAGGTTGATTTTATGCAACAAAAACACCAGAAATAAACATAGTCGGCTACCTCTTTCTAAGGCTTGTTTAATAAGGGGTTATAAGTTATCTAACTAATTACATTATAACTGGTTAATAAGTTAAGCTATTTACTAATTATCCTTTTGTAGTAACAGCATTTGGGTTGCCAGGTTATGAAAAATCCCCTGTATCCATATTAATTCATTTTTAATAGGTTCTTTAATTCACCAGGATGTCTTCGACTTACTTTCCACAAAAACGGGCTGCAGAATATGTTTTACAGTTAAAATGTAAAACCCCTCATGAACTGTGGTGTATGTAAAATGTATAGACAGTATATAAAAATGTCACTACTACATCTTTAAATGTAACCAAAAACTTAGACTTTGGTCTAGACTTAGACTTAAGATTTGTATTTCTTGGGCATGTTCGTCTTCATTTGATAGAAGCCAAAAGCAGCTTGAAGGTTGATCGAAATGAGGCATGAGGGAACAAGGATGACAAACAAAGGTCCCGTGACTGATTGTAATCAGAGACCTTGCAATTACTTACGTCTCTTTGACCTCTAGGCCCCAAAGATGCCCTAATTTTAACACCAACTCTAAGACTGTAAGATCAGTCTTTGATTATCTTTACACCAATTTTAACACTTTTATCGCCTGAAACTCAATGGACTTTTGGGTGGCACCATTTGCAAGCCAAGAGCAATGCACATTTGGCCACCTCACAGCCCCGACAAACATAAATAAACCTCATAATAGTAAGCTGTTTCAGGCTACATGGTCAGTGAGGATGTTTTTACTGCCTTTTTGGATTCTGTAAGCCTGACAATTCCAGTATTCATGCAGCCTATGATCTCTCCAGAGGTGTGGACTTGAGTCACATGACTTGGACTTGAGTCAGACTGGAATCACAAATATGGGGACTTTAGACTGGACTTGAGAAAATCGAAAAAGACTTGACTTTAACATAATTGACTTGTGACTTCACTTAGACTGGGGCCTTTTGACTCAAACTGACTTGATGTTATTTAATTTATGAAATTATATTTGTTATGTGAATGTTGTGTGAAAATGCACCTAAGACTTTTTTCTGTAGCCTACAGGTTAACACTTTATTCAGTAAAGTTTATTTAATTGTTAACTCTTAAAAATATGAAATTGTATTAAATTTGGTGAAGAGCACATTATGACTTGTTTAGGACTCGAAACTCAAAGTTTACTTGCCTGTCTCAACTTGGGATTTGACCTAGGACTTGTAAGGTACTTTTACTTACTTGAGACTGGAAATAATGACTTCTGGCTTCCTCTGGCTCTCTCTGTAGTCTCAGGCTGTGCTGCTGTTCATAGCTGGTCAGACATTGTACTTTACATTTTTGTCATATGGCTGACTTGTGGACAGACTAATCAGACATGTCAAAACATGTGAGCAGAAGGAGAGAGAGTATAATAAAATATAGTAGAATGTCAACAACATGATAACAGGTTATCTTGTCGTAAAAATGGATTATATTTTGGACAGAATGACTGAGTGCAGATTTTGTGGCGAAGCTGTTAAACACTGAGGTACGGTGAGGTAGGCTAACAATTAAAAAAAATTGCTGTGTGTCCTTAGCTGCTCCATGTTCATCACCTATGAGCTGTGAGGTGGACACGGTGAGTGACAGTTTACTTGATGACCACGGCAACATCTGTCAGCCGCTCTTCAGTCTTTACCCTTTGCTTCAAAAAGTTTAGGAGCAGCCTGGGGAGCGTGGCACATCACGCATGGCCAAGCCCCTGGTATGCCTCTGTTTGTTTGACTGGACCTGCGTGCTTCAGCAAGCCTTCAGGAAGCTTCTGCTCTTTTTCCCAAGATGGCACCAACTTGTTAGCTGTTTTTTTAGTTCTTAAATGCCACACAGTGACCTAATCTAGTGATCAGAACAGAGTGAAATCATGCATTAGGGAAGTCTATGCTGCTCTACACCTCTTCACTATTTGTCTTACTCACATGTTTGGCTTTGGCTTCACTGTCCAGAAGGTTATGAGGCATGCTGAGTGTGTGTGTGTGTGTGCGCGCGTGTGTGCATCTCAGCACACAGAATGAACATTAGAAAAAGTAAAGCGCCATCAGCTCCCTGCATTCCTACACTCCACGTCTGACCCACACCAAATACCATGCTGCATTCTTCCTCTCTATCTGGTTGCCCACAAATAGAATAATAGGTGTTGTGTTTAATGGCTGCGATCTGAACAGAGATTTGTTTTCACTGATCTAATTACTTTGGGCGGCAAATATTGCAGGCAAAAGGATATCCTACCCTATTATTATTCAAACTCTGGAATGAAGGTAGAAAGGTGAAGATTGAGTGCTGTATTGGTTGGATGAATGCAGTGATTTAGATCTGTGGCCTTCTAACTAAAGTAGGAAAGATGCAGTGTGTCTACAGTACATAAAGTGACATTAAATTTCATTTGCTGAGAATTTGAATTTTCCCAATACATGTATTAAAAATAATATTACAGTGGCTGCAGGAAGCAACTGGTTAAGTGAGAGGTACAAAGGAGCCATCATTAATCTAACCAGCTCAGACTTTCACTCTGTTTATGACCCTTTTACACATTCAGCCCTGCCCTTTGCTGAGGTTGGCGTATATGCTGTTTGATGTTGCATCCTTAACTAGACACTCACACTCACATTTACCCCCTGCTGAGTGCTACTTCTGTGTCCCACTGTTGTTCATGTCACAGCCTTTTCACTCTGCGGACCCCCAACCTGTTGTTAGACTGGCTGTGCTCATGGGACCATCTGTTCCCCCTCACAGTCACACACACACATGCACGCTCGCAGAAACTCAGATACTATACACGCACGTGGACACACAGGCCAGCTGCCTGCTACATGGTCCCTGCTAGAGGCAGACTGCTACATCTGTCCCTGTCTAACCTCAACCCTGTGGCCCAGCAGCAATTAGCTCCCATTAGCAGCCCCTTGGGACACGGCTTCATTAAGGAGACTGTCATGGCAACAGTAGCGTGTAGCAGGCTAACCAGCAGCACTCGCCACTGACAGGTTACTGTCCAAAGTAATGGTATGTGACTGTGGCCAGAG